TTGCCCTTGGCCGCAACGCAGGTCACGCTAGCGCCTCGTCTGCCCTTGCGATGTTGGCGGGGTCCGAGGACAGGGGCGGCTTCCGATCTTACAACAGCGTTGTCAGGTATGAGCACAGGGCGGCGCTCGGACAGAAAATACTGCTCAAGATTTGCTACAACGAATTCCAGGCGAGTGCTGACATGGAAGTGCACTGCTTCAAGTTCGACGCGACGAACAGCGAGGCTCTGGAGAAAAGCAAGATTCACACGCAGCTGCTGACGTCTTGGGCATGTCGGTCTGAATCATTGCCAGCCGCAGGAACTGCCAGCACTTTCGAGTCGTTCGCCCCCGTCATCTCCTCGGCCAGCAGTTGTCCAGATCTTCAAACAGTGCATTTTGGCACTGGCGCAGAGACATACATGTTAGGATTGAAGGGGCTATATTCAGTGGGCTGCCCAGACTGGGAACAACGAGCCACCGAAGCCGAGACGGACCAGCGACGCTTCTCGGTGTACGTGTTTGGCACAGACGCGGGCCCCGACAACGTGGCCATGGGGGGGATGGTCAGGACGCGCCTTGCACGCGTGAACACGGTTGCTTTCACCATGACGTTCTGTTTCCTTCACCAGTGCCATCTTGCAGTCTTGACCATGCTGTCCATACTAGATGCGTTTGCATGGTTGACCCCCGTGGGCGCTGGCAGCCAAGAAGAAGCTTGTGGACCAGCAGGGCTGTGCGGGCTGAACACAAAATATGTTGCTGCAGTGGCGACCGTGGCCAACGTGTGGCGGGGCCCTGGAGTTTCGAAGAGGATGCGAGCTGCTGCGAGGTCGTTATACACTGCTCAGGTTGCAAATGATTATTTCGGACGGGTACCAGGCAGAGTGATTCGTGGGAGATGGGGCGCCATCGATGCAGTCGAGGCCCTCATCGTGGCAGGTGCTCCTTTCATTGGTCCAGTCTTTGCCGAGGTGTTTCCTCCAGCTGCTGACGCGAAGAAGCCCTCTGTGAAGGTCGGCTCCGCGGAGGACGTGCAGTATCGTGAAGAACAGAAAAAGTACAGGCGCAACGCTGTTGGATTTACTGGGTCGTCCTTGTTCCATGTTGTTGTCCTCATCTCCAGCGTTGCCAAGCAGCCGCCGACGCACTTCCTGCATTGGGTTCAGAAGGCTACCAAAGACTACAATGATGCAGTGAGGAAAGCGCGCGCGGCTGACCAGCGCGCGCCGTACCTGGGCCCCACGCCACTCAGCCAACTTACCACTGGCAAGGCTGCAGATATTGCTGAGGAGATCTCCAACTTGTTGGCCAGTGCAACGGAGAAAGACCACCACTACTGGGGCTCGTTGTGGGGGAAGCTTCAGACACCTCGGCTGCAACAACAAGCCCGCAGTCTCATCGTGCATTTGGTCGTGGCAGAAGCTTGCTCCTGGAAGCATCGTGTTATCGGTCGCCTGGGCGGGTTTCCATACCAGCTGTTCCATCTCGTGCGCGAGGACGCCAACAAGCCTTGCGACCACAGGAAACGCGTCGCGGCCCTCCTCCTGGCCTCGAACGAGTGCTGCCTCACCCTGCCGTTCGACGACTTCACGTTGAAGCTTAAGCGGAACTTCGAGGCGGAACTCCGCGCTGCGTCACATTCTGGGCGTTGCCCGCCTCGCTTGTTCGCCGTCGTCATCATGTATCGAGCGGCGATGCCGCTCGATACGCAGGAGGTGGAGGGGATGAACAGCATTTTGAAAGTTATGTCAGAGAGAGCTCCCTACCTCAAGATTCCCTTAGCATCGGCGCGGATGTCGCTGAAAAAAGGTGAGCCTTCTACGCCAGGCGTGTTCGCCGACATGCACCGACAAATCATGGCAGAGGCCAAGAAGGCCGAGCACTCGGACATCGTGCGCTTCGACGCCGTCGACGTGCGCAACGCCCCGACCATCGCCCAGCCCGCGTTGTGCCCCCACCAGACTCCACGGGATCTCGCGAGTCGGCTCGCTTACGCGTTGGATGGTTACAAACAGATCAACACCTCTGCGACTCATGTGGTATCTTGGGGGCCAGGTGCTGCTGTTGCGTTCCTCGCGCCATGGAGCTACGGGAGGTGCTTATGGACAGCAGCATGTGATGTGATGACGGTTGCTGGGCTGCGGTCGTTCAAGTTGCGCATCCCCTTGGAGGTTCAGCCGTTGCACGAGGCGCTTCGGTCTGCGCCTGCCACCGCAGCGCCAGCTGACGGCGGCCGACGGAAGCGCTGCCCTGTGATCACAGTTACTGAGGAGGAAGTCATTTGGAAGACTTTGGATTTGGCGCAAGAAGCGGACGCCCCGCTGAAGACGATCATCCTGTCCAGGTCAGCTGCGAAGAAGACCGATTCACGCAAATCTCGGAGACATGTCGGCCGTCCAGACGGAGCAGCATCATCATCATCAGCATCTGGCGCGCTGCCCTTGCCAGGCAGCGAGGGGGAGCTGGGCGAGTCAGACGAGGACGCCGACTACGATGCGGAGGTCGTCGCCGAGCTCTATGGGGAGCTGAACGCCGATGCGGACGACGAGGCCGACGGCGATGCTGCGGCGACAGCAGTGGATCCAGGCGGTCACGAGTTGGAGCATGCAACTGACCATTTGCTGGACGAGCAAGGGCACGAGGATTTGCGCTGCGAGGACCCCGCTGGTGATGCAGATGACGACAGCGCCGCAGACGCACAGGACGAGGGTGCCACAGACGTTGAGAATCCGTCCGGCAGCGTCCCGCCCCAGGTCGACATGGCAACCTTGCGGGAAAGGCACGCGCTCGCGGTGAGGTCGGTTCAGGAAGCGCAGCGCTTGCAGAGAGACCAGACAGAGGACATGCACCCGCTCCTGCCTGGCGTGATATCCCTTGTGCGCATGCGTGAGACTGACGAGGTCATCTTCGTCAGGTGGGCCAAGGACGTCGGCGTGTGTCGCCCGCTCGCCCTCGATGCTCGTGGGGG